AAAAACAGAGAGTGATGGTCAATCAGTAATATTATCATCATCTTTAAGTGGAGAAGCAGGACACATAGGGAGAAAGATGGCAGATTTTGCTGCAAATATCCTTGAAATCCTCTGTGGAAACAAGGCTCTGCAGATCTCTGAATCAGATCTGTGTGACCTTTGCATAAATGACAGCAAGGCAAGCCTTATGGATGCATTGGAGAGGTGTCGAAAAAGCAAAACACCCATTTGGCTTATTTTTGGAGGGGAAACTACTGTGGAAGTAAAAGGATCAGGAAGAGGTGGAAGGAATCAAGAAATGGTGCTTGCCTTCAGTATGTCTGTTGAAGAGGTATATCTGAATGCTTCTTTAACTCTAAAATATAAACAATAATGTACTGTTGTAGCATGCTATTGATTTACTATAATTGATGATAAACAAGTTTATCTCATTTCAAATTTTTAATACATTTCAGACTTCAAATACTAGATAAAATACATGGGAAATTATATAAACTATACAAAATATAACAAATATTAATTCTATTGGTCCATTTTCAGAAGCTTCAAGGCTCAACAAGTACAGGAGAAGTAGTATTTCTCTCAGGTGGAACAGATGGTATTGATGGACCAACTGATGCAGCAGGTGCTGTAACATACTGGTCCTCTTTCAACTCAGGAGTAAAGTATGTTTATTCATTTGTTTTTAGTGAAATAATTTGTATATACTAAATATTTTTTTTATGTGATGATTATTTTTGAATTATGAGGATAACAAACGTGTAGAATTATGGAGAACTACATAAAGGTTAATGTCTTTCTTTCTATTACAGGTCCCAGTTGAAAGAGGCAAAAGAGCAGGGCCTAAATCCAGAAGATTTCCTCAGAAACAATGATTCATACACCTATTTCTCTGAGCTGAGTTCTGGACAGTATTTGCTCCAACCAGGGCACACTGGAACTAATGTAATGGATTTGCAAATTCTTCTCATTAACCCTTTCAACTAGTGTCCTTTGAAAACCTTTAGTAATAGCATTATTGGGTGATGAAATGGGTTTATGTTCCAAATAGGTGTAATTAGAGTGAGCACACCTCCCCAGTGTGTATTCGATGATACAGAGCCTGGATTAATTCATTCCTAGTTGCCAGAAAATGAACAGAGGAAGTTTGTTTGCCTTTGCCAGAACCCCAAGAGGTAAAGCCATAACATAGCTGGACATTGGGGCCTTCAGCAGTTTCTCAGTCTTTAATGAGCAGTTGCAACCTTGCCTTCAGTTTCTATATAACATTGTATGTCCTTCATTTTTATTACTTTACTTTTTGTAATGCTGTTTTTCTTTAGCTAAAAATGTATAGTGCATGGTGCTTTCTTTTAGATAATGGAAATAGTCTATATTTTAGTTTTTGCTTACGGTGATCTTTACTCCATTTTCCTCTTCTGCAGTTGGTTTGAAGGCTCAAATTTAGATATAAATTCTCGAACCAAGAAAAATCACAGTGAGAATATGTCAGTAATGAAGGAGTTTTTTCCACCAAAGTGTTCAAAGTGTAATGTAATCTTGAAGACTTTTACCAGATATTGCAGTATGACTGCAAAGGTGCTATATTTCTTGCATAGTATGCTTCTCATAGTTGATATGAAGGCAGTTTTCTTTTGTCTTGGATTATTATAAAGATGTTATTGAACTTCATGTAAAAGCAATATTTTCCTCCAAGGGAAAGCTTCTGAGACAATTATTGTTGATTTATTTCATATATATATATTTTTACATAAAAGTTTATTCTATTTTCATATCATTCACCTCTTTAAAACATGATTTTTTTTAACAGAACATATTCTGTTTTTATTGCTTCTGCTTGTATGAAACAGAAAAATCAGAGAAATTATTCCTGGTGCCTTATCCAGTTAATGCCACATGAGAGCATTGGGGTTTTGAAATACATGCATTTTCTATACTGATTGTATTTTAGAAACAGTGATTGAGGCAAAAAAAATTATGTATATGCAAAGAGCATGAAATAAAGGAGAGAAAAGCAATGATTAAAACTAGCATAGAAATGTTCCTTTAAAAAATCTCAAAAAAATTAGAATTGTTTGGTGCTTTTAACTTATCCTTCAAGTCATTAATTTCTTGAACCTTATTGATACTGCTATTTCCCAATTCTCTCATGTAGGCAGTGAGTTCTGTCTTCACAGATGTAACAGTTATTAATTTCAGGTCTTTATTGTTTTTTTTTTTGTTGTTGTTGTAAAACTGAATTTCAGTTGTGAAGTGTTTGCATATCAATATTCCCTTGTTTTGTAATACTTTGACTTTTAGGTAACACCAGTCATAAAAGACTGCAGCATTCCCAAGATTCAACATTATTGAATTAATTACATAAATAAGAAATATATTTTTATACATAATTGTCATGTATATTAAAAAACAACAAGGGATTGATACGAAAAGTAAGATTTGACTTGCTGGTATCTAGCTTTTAAATATTCATGTATGAAATGAATAAACTACAAGTGACTTCTGAAATTTCCTTTCCCCTTGTTTTCTAATATTACATATAATTTTCAAGTGAGATCAAGCATTCCTCCAAATTATCTAAAAGGAATATGAAGATATACAGGTAGGTATAATACTTTGATAATCTTAGTTATACTCTTTACAAGTATGCATATAAATCAGTACATTTCCATTCTTTGGCAGTCAGTCTGTGTATGGTAACTGGTTGACATGATCCTTTTTAAAACTTCTAGGTGTTTCCTCATCTTGTTTTGGGGTTTCATGACCATTTTTGCATTATTCTCAGTCTTTTTTGTTTGTTTATATGAGACAGGATGTCTATTATGATTTGGCTTTTAATGTTAGAAACTATTCATTTTATCTGTCTTTAATTAGGATTTTCAGATTAATCATCAAATGTGATAGCCCTTCAGTTTTATAGTTGTGCATTGTTAAAAAGAGAAATGAGAGGGATACATAACCCTATGTTTATTTTCTATATAGAGGTTTGCAAATGTTATCACTCAACATATAATTATTATTGCAACAGATATAACAGGTTTCTTACTCAATCAGGTAATTATTCAGTAGATTTTCTGAATTAGTGGTTTATGGCAATATGAACTGCAGTACCAAACCAGCATACATCATTTTGCACATGCAAATTGTTAGTCCTTTGTACTGTATTGTGATAACAAATTAAGTAGATTAGTTAAAAAACAAAGAATATTACTGACCTTAACCATGGAGGCTGCTGTACTAGTGAATAATAATACAGGCTTTGGGGTACTCATTTCTTCCATCACACAGAACCTTTTAATATTGCTTTTTGCTTTCTGTTATAGATTTCAAAATTACTATAGGCTATAGCATAACTTCAAGTTCAGCCATGAGAGAGAGATCATTTGTGGCCTGAGTCTTGTATGGCCTAAGACCTTTGAATTCTTACATTCTGTATCTTTTGTAAATGGTAAATAGGTTATAAAGACACAGTCAACTTAATGCCACAATCTTTATGTAACACTCCTGAAAGGATAAAAAATAATGAGCATTTTATAAATGATAAGACATTTTTGATAGTAAATAAAAGAGAGAAAGTAACACTGCAAAAACATGTGATTCAGTTGAAAAAAAAATTCTATGTTAAAAAAAAATATTTTTTCTCACTTTAGAGAACAAAAGGAACATTAGTGTATTATGAGACTGTTAGGATTATGTAATGTAATAAATATTAAGCTAGTTTTTTCATTAACTTTCCAGTAGAAATCTAACTATCCAAAGGAAAATGCTCATGCAGAATATAGAATCCCACCAGTAGACATTCAAATACCTTTAACTTTCATGGTCTAAGGCTTTGTTAATTTTGCATGCACATGCTCTTCCTTTATATCCAAACTTTCCTTTTTTTCAATTTTCTCCTTTTACTTAGATTACTGAAAGTAAAATGAAATTTTGTTCCCATTCTTAAAAAGCCTATACTTCCAAAACAAACTAAAACTAATTCAGAGCAAATGCTCATGACAATGTTCCTCAGCTATCCTTGCCACATGACAAAGTAATGAATTAGAGCCATCTTCCCCCATCAATAAGTAAAACACTTTTATCAACCAAAGAAGCAAAATCTGATGCCTTAGTCTAATTGTAGAATCTGCCATTTACGGACATATTTTTGATAAATTTTATCCTCTATAGCTTGAAACAGGATTCATGAGCAAGGTCCCGAACTCCTCAGAAAACCCATTCCTGGTCCATCTTAAGCTACATGAATTACTAGAAATATTTGAAATCCAAGCTCACTAACACACTACTAATAGCATCACAACAAATAGCAAGAAGATTTACCATTGTAAGAACCCTGTCTAACAGGGTGTACAGCCATCAATCACACATGGTGTGAATGTTATATATTTATTTCCTATAGAAATAATTAATTGTGACACGAATGGAGGTTAGTATCAAAATATTCTACTTTTCAAATTTCCTTACTTCTGTTTTTTCACTGCTTTGTGCAAATGATAAATCAACTATGAACCTATATAACTGTTAAATTAATAAAATATTGTACCAAAAAGCAAATATTAGGTGCAGTAGCAGTAATAGTAGTACTATAGCAGCAGTGATTGCAACAACAGAAATAGCAACAGTAATAGTACTAGTAGTAGTAGTAGTATTAGCAGTGGTGGTGTTGGTGTTGGTGGTAGTGGTAGTGGTAGTGGTAGTGGTAGTGGTAGTGGTAGTGGTAGTGGTAGTGGTAGTGGTAGTGGTAGTGGTAGTGGTAGTGGTAGTGGTAGTGGTAGTGGTAGTGGTAGTGGTAGTGGTAGTGGTAGTGGTAGTGGTGGTAGTGGTAGTGGTAGTGGTGGTAGTGGTACTTGTTATTTGTTGTTTTTATTGTTGTTGCAGCTGTTGTTGTTATTATCACTGTAGTGTTGCAGAAGAAGCAGTAATTGTAGTAGTTGCAGTTACAACTGTAGCAGCTGCAGTTAGAGTATTTGTAGCAGTATCATGACATTATCATTATCAGTAACTAAAATTATCATATTTATGATGGCAATAACAAAAAACAAAACAAAATGACAGTAATGCCAGTAACAATAACAATATAAATTGCATTCCAAATTACATTACTGTGAAAACAATACAGTGTATAAAGATGCATCCACACAAGAGGCAGTTCTGCTGAGGGTAAATATTGTTACAAAATCATAGCCCAATTCATACACTTAGAAAGTAGGTGGTGGGTAAGTACAGAAATGATATCACAGGTAGGAAAACCATGTGTTGTTCCCAATAGTAGTCAAAGCACACCACTTGAGAATTGCTCAATTGATTAGTTCTGGATATATGCTCAACAGCCAGTGGGTAGGCTATGCCCCTCATGTAGACACAACCAAAGACTACATTCTCTTATAGTAAGTACTTATGAAACTATCTATAAAACCAGTGCAGTCCCCTCTGCAAAGTTCTCTGATTATGTATATATAAAACAACAAAAACAGATTATGAAATAATTTCACAAGAATGTAATAGCTCTACCATGTAACAGACAAGAAAGCTGAAGAAACAGCTGTATTTCGAGATGGTGATGAAATTTCTTGTAATCATAATAGTAGAAGTATTACTTAAAAGGCTTAATATATTTATAAGCAACCATAACACCTTAAGTACTTAAAAAGAAAAAAATATTTGTTTTGCTTATAATCTTACACAGATAAGCCATGTACATGTACAAGTATGTGGTACATGTAGTTTTGGTGGTCAATTTTGTTTACACATACATTGCCTCATTAGAGCTTTATCAACAAGGAATCAACATCTAGCCCTACCTGATCTCATTTTGATCGCATTCCTTCAATTTTCTGGAAAGTTTTTATTTCTAATACTATCATTATGGTTATTAACATTATTTTAATATTATCATTAACATTATTAACAATAATAATAGTAATGAAATAAAGCCTTTTCTTTCTAAAAATTAATCTAATTGGTAAACAGGTATAATAAACAAAATTAATCAAATGAAATCACAGCAGGTTGTGCATGTATAAATGCACTCCCAGTTTCAACAGGTTAAAGTTTGGTTGTGTGCATAGGCATATGCATGTAATGCAAAGTTGTCTGAGCATTACAATCCAACAGCTGAGGAGGTCAGTTACTTTAGCAAAGGAACGTCAGACCCACTGACCCAGCCTAAGGTGCTATGAACCAGCCATAGCTCTCATATCTTTATCCAGGAGCAAATCCTAAATGATTTACCTATCATAAACATGATATACTTACAAAAATATGCAAAGTATGAAATGATTTTACAAAAACATACCATCAGTGACATCTTTACTCAAGGAAAGACTTTCTAGTCTATTATAAAAATCTCCTTATACAATTGTAATGATCCTTGACCTCTGAATTCAGTCTATGATTTCATGATAAATCATTTTCATTATAATACACTGACCTTTGCAGAATTCCAAAAGGTTTACTTTCTTCTATGAAAATGGTTCATATTCTTGTCATGACTATCTTGACTATACATCATATTCCACATCATGATACTGGTTCTGGAAACACCCTAATCATACCTAATACAAATAACTTATCTACATAATTTTGATTGATAAAATTTTCCTAATTAGGTGATTATAAATACTACAATTCCTGTAAAAGTATGCAAAAAGTCAAATTAATTGAAAGAAAAAAATATATATACAGTAAAGGTTGATAATTTTTTGTCTACTGAGACCTACAAAATAACTCTCTTAATAGGTAGAAAAGAAGATATTAAGCTGAAATTGAAGAAAAATAACTTCTATTGTGATAATAACATTAACCTAATACTGTAGATAAAGTTCAAAATTACCTATGGCCTCACATGGCTGATTTCATGTATCTTTTGTAAAGATAATAAAATATTACACCTCATTTACACTCAAAACAAATTATTTGAAGATCTCACGGCCACAAAATAATTAGCATGACATACACTAATGTGGTATTACTAAGGTAGCTACTCACTTCTTAAAGGATACTCTACCAACATCATTACATGTCCTACTAATTTCTATTTATGACACACACAAAACACATGCAGCATGCAGCAGCACATGCAGCACGCACGCATGCACGCATGCACGCACACACAACACACACAACACACACAACACACACAACAAACACACACACACACACACACACACACACACACACACACACACACACACACACACACACACACACACACACACACACACACACACACACACACACACACATACATATATATATACACACATTTTATTTATTTATATATATACATATACGTATGTATATATACACACACATATATATATATATATATATATATATATATATATATATATATATATATATATATATATATATATATATACATATATATATATATATATATATATAGAGAGAGAGAGAGAGAGAGAGAGAGAGAGAGAGAGAGAGAGAGAGAGAGAGAGAGAGAGAGAGAGAGAGAGAGAGGGAGAGAGAGAGAGAGAG